GCGGCCGAGGGCTATTAACCCCACGCGGGCTGCTCTCGGGCCGTCTCCCCTCCCGCGGCGGTCCTGCCCCCCCCCCAGGTTGGAAGACGAAGCTGCCCCCTGGCCACCCTGGATTGTGAGTGGGGGGCCCGGGGCTGCCCCTCTGCGGGGGGCCCTCGCGTGTCCCTGCTGCCCTGTACCCCCCCCCCGGCCTTTCTGTGACCAGCTGCCAATAAACGTGTGATGGTCGCGGCCGGGCCCTGATTCCTCTGTGTCCCCCTCCCCCGTGCCGGGTAACCGGCTACTGCTGCTGCCAGCCAAGGGAGTCACCCCAGAGCTGCCCCCAGGAGTGCGGGGGGGGGAGGACTCTTGACTCTGGGCTCCCAACCCCCAGCTGTGCCCTGTCCTGGGGGAGGGGCTTAGGAGGGGGTGGAGCCACGGTGGGGGCAGGGACTGAGTCTGGCTGCAGAGGCACCAAGCCTGGGAGGGGAGGGGCTGGGTCAGGCCAGGGATCCTGCCTCCCGGCTGTGGCGAGAGGGCGTGGCCAGGAAGGGATCCTGCCCACAATTGGGCAGCTGTTGAGAGAGGGCGTGGCCAAGAAGGGATCCTGCCACCCAATTGGCCATCTGTGGCGAGAGGGCGTGGCCAGGCACGAACCCTGCCATCTGATTGGCCAGCTGTGGCTAGAGGGCGTGGCCAGGCAAGAACCCTGCCATCCGATTGGCCAGCTTGGGCGAGAGGGCGTGGCCAGGCAAGAACCCTGCCATCCGATTGGCCAGCTTGGGCGAGAGGGCGTGGCCAGGCAAGAACCCTGCCATCCGATTGGCCACCTGTGGAGGGCGCGGCCAGGCAGAGAGCCTGCTATTTGATTGACCAGCTGTGAAGGGAGGGCGTGGCCAGGAGTGAGCCTGCCAGCTGATTGGCCAACCACTACTAAGGGGCGTGGCTTGAGGAATCGCCTTAGCTCGCAGAGGGTGGAAGGGGGAGGGTTTTACAACATGCCTCATGATCTGATTGGTCCGTGATGGCGACACGCTGGGCCCTGACTGGCGAGGGGGCGGGGCCTGATGCGAAAGCTGCTCTGTGATTGGCTGGAGGCGGGGCCGGGGCCGGGGGTGTCATGGCGGCTGCCGCCTGGTCCGAGCGGGTCCGAGAGCTGCTGAAGCGGATGAACAACTTCCAGGAGCCCGGTGCGGGGGCGGGGCCTAGCCGGGGGCGGGAATCTACCGGGGGGGGGGAGTGTCCATGGTAACCGGCTCCTAAAGGCAGCGCCTGCTGCAATCGGCCGACACAAAATGGGGCACCGGCCACCCCTTTAATTGTTAAAGGGGAGGTGAGCGGGGGGAGTCAGCCGACAGACAATACCGGCTGCTGGCCTTTAATTCTTAAAGGGGAGGTGAGCGGGGGGGGAGTCAGCCGACAGATAATACCGGCGGGGAAGGAATTAGCCGACGGGAATGGCGGGGACTCGCTCACGTGCTTCGCTCCTTAAAGGCGCAGGGCGGGAATTCACTCCCCCGACAGGGACTGCAATTAAAGGGATGAGCCATCGCTCTTTAAAGGCGCAGGGCGGGGAGCTGGGAGGCTTGTGACCCCTTTAACTGTTAAAGGGGCAGGATTTAGTGGGGGGAGGGACCCACAGCTAATTAAAGGGACAGGTGGGGGCACTGGGCCGCAGGGGGCTCTGAGGTGCAGGAGGTCAGTGGGGCGGGGGGCACTGGGGTGCAGGGAGCGGGCAGGGGGCTCAGAGGCGCAGGGGTTTGGTGGGGCGGGGGGCTCGTGAGGCGCAGGGGTTTGGTGGGGCGGGGGGCTCGTGAGGTGCAGGAGGTCAGGTGGGGCGGGGG